GGACAATAATGGTTTAAAGGTACCAATTTTAGAGACCAAAGATGGTTTCAAACAGTTGTTGCGCATACAAAATGTTTGCGTTTCAGATCACCTTAAACGGTTACAAAATATAAAAAAACAAAAGTATTTACAGAAGAAATTTTGGTGTATACACAAATAGTAGGAAGAAAAAGAAAATTAGGCTATAAAATTTTTGTGATTTTCTAAAAAAAGATGAAGAATTAAGAAACCAAATTAAAAATTCATTATAGGCAATGAATGAATTGGAACGTTGTCTGGTCAAAATTACTAGAGGTGGTAGACGGAAATGTCTTTCATACGGCATATGTTTCCCAGAAATTAAGTCTGTTAGAAAAGAAGATTGGATTTATCCTCGAATACAGTGGGCTGTCCTTTAGACGATTAACCTTAGCAAGTGGTCAATGCAGATACCTGGAACTTTTTTCTTAAAATATAACAAACTGTTTAAGAGAATTCAAGTACGAATATTTTCTTTATCTCGATCTCAGGACCGGATAGCCAGCAGAAGAACAAATAACAAAAATCAGCTTGTGCAGCGGCTTAGCAGTTTCTGAAATAAAGCTTTATTAGTTTTACACTGTAACAGAAAAAAACTTTTTCTTTATTATTACACCAAAATGAAAAACTTGCAGGTGTAATTTAATTCTTAGGGTAGACCTTCAGTGAGAGTATCCCTGAAAAAATGAAAACGTAGAAGACAAGATGAAGTGTGAACTAAAAACTGGCCAGACAAACCGTAACAGTAAGGAAAGTTCCAGCATCCTAACGTGAATTGCTGTTCAATCCAATCTTTGGGAATTTAGTTTTATAACTGAAGAAAAACGTGAATATGCTACATTGAAATATTATAGTTTTATGGGTGTTACAAATTAATCTCTTAATAAGCGGTGATTTTTCTTTATTTCTGATTCTGCTACGGTAAATTCTAGAAAGAACAGCCAGTTGAGAAAGTTGTGACTTAAAAATAACGCATAAGTCGATACTACTAAAAAAAGGTATTTTCAAAAAAAAAAAAAACTATGGAGTGGTGTAAATCTGGTAAGAAAAAAAGTTAAAAAATTACATATAAGCATATTAATTAGAAAACTGCTCTTTCGTATTTTCCAGTTACAAACAGAAGTTTTGAAAAAGAAATTTTTTTTTTGCGACACATTACTCTTATTATAACAGAATGAAAATTGGAAATTGAACATTCTTGTATTAGTTTAAATAAGAAATTCGCAAGACCATATTTTTATTTATCGTTTCAGGACTCGTAATTTAATATAATTCTAATATTAAAAAAAACTTGGTTCCATAAAAGGTCTGAATTGCTTAACTCTGAGAGTTATTACTCAGATAATAAGCAAAACCGACAGAGCAAATATATGAGACTTAAAATTTAAGAGTTTGTAACGTGTTGAAAGAAAGAGAGGGAATAACAAACAATTATTAAAGGAAATTCTTATTCCTGCAGTTCATGTAGCATTTCACCACTAGAATTAGAATAGATTTGAAAGCTTGATCGAGAAAGGTGCAAAATCTGAGACCAAATGCCTGTGCTAAGCTACAGCTGCATGATCAGCGCTACTGCAGTGAAGTGTATTCACCTCCAAGCATGTTTTTTTTTTTTTGACCGTGAAGTTAACTTCTTTTTCATTATACGAAATTTTTAGTGATACTTAATTCATTAAGTAATATTTTCAAACTTGCTCAAGCAGTTTTTGCCAGCTTTCTAAAAGCTTACTGCTAAAAGTTAGCTACAGCAGTAGTTGCATAAAGAAATCTGAAACTTTTAGAGATGAATTATGCGATATCGAGAACCCCATGTAGAAAAAATGAAGTGAATCTGACGCCAAAAAATGCATTTTGGGGGATGAATACGCTTAACTGCAATAACGCTAAGGTTTTTTTTGGTTTTTCATGGGCCTCATTTTTTTAAAATATCACTTAAACTTAAATGAGTCTGAGAAACAGAATTTATTATTCTACCAGTCATTCATGAGCTAACTTGCTATTTATATGGGAAGGAACCTATGTCTGATATCATGCTGAACCCTGCGATTTTCTACTCAAATGATACTCTGAACGCGAAGCAGTTTGGTTATCGGTCCTGTTGGAAAACGCTCAGAATACTTTATAGATGTTATACTCAATTGACTGAATAATTACAGTATGAAAAAACCGATAAAAAATATCATAGTTTTTCTTAGCTTTTTAAAGTAAGCCTCATCTTTGCAAATAACCTGAACATACTGGTCCAAGATTGACACCTTCAAAACCTAACTTCTTTTGTACAGCAGTCTTGCAGTTGTCTACAAAGTGCATATGGGTAAGGAAAACTTGGTTGGTCCTGTTATTTTTTAGCTGCTATTATTGACGGCACACAGTTCTGAGGCTTTTAGTTCAAAATTTAAAATTTTTTATAACGTTGGCGATGATGGCAGAAGTGACAGCGGTGACTTGGAGGCTTGCCGGATTGACGAACATTCAACTCACTTGGCGTTTACTAGCAATGTTGGCGCCATCCAAGTGTCAACGTAGTTAGTATTTTCCTTATCCGTTTTTTCCTTATGGTCAGTTTTTTTACTAAAAAACCTTTCCTTACCTCACACACTACGTGATGACATTAATACTGTGCACAGCAATTACCTTGATATCTCTTAATCGGTGCAAATTTAGGCACCGGTTTTAACGACTGGAGAGTACAGCTTCCCAAATTCTGGAAATGGTGCGCTGTTAAGCGATTGCTTCTTTGGCAATGAGGGCTCCAGTTTGTTTGCCAGAGAGTTGG